AGGAATGTGAGGGTCCCTCTTTCTGTAGCTGTTTTCTGACTTCCCCTCTCTAAATAATTGCTCTCTAACCCAGCTTCAACACTGCATCTTTTCAATGTCTTATCTTGCATTTTTCAGATAAAAATATGGAGGAAGCACATGTAACTTAATTTGCTTCTAGTGATAAGAGTATACACACTCATCACAGAAACCCTGAGAGATACTGAGAGGTATGAAGGAGAAATAAGTGACAAATCATATTCCACAATCCAAAAGCTGAGTTCTGTCACTGCCTACAAGGGGGCTTTAAAAATGTATGGGAAAACGAAATTAAAGTACATGTTTGTTTTAGTTTAAATTTTTTAAGTCCAGTTTTTATCATAATATGTGTTATTAATGAGCTTTCTGAAGACCTCTTATAGGTATTTGTTTTGTCCTTTCATTGTATATCCACATCTTTGGCTGTGATGAAATCATTCAGCATATTTATATTTGTTATTTTTGTTTTAACTGAAAATCTCTTCCTAAAGCTACTAGCATTGTCATCATCATCAGCAGCAGCTGTTTGTTGTACACTTGCTAGAAGGGACCAGAGGACATGCTGAATAGAACTTTATTCTGATGATGGCTCCTCACTCACCCCTGTCCCCACTGTCACCGATGAGTGTATCACCTGAGAATCTGCCTCGGGGCCATGAATGGGGCAGAAATGGAGGAGAATAGTAGAGGACAGTGTTGTTATTATTTTAATTTGCTATAGGGTACATATATATTCTCTCTCTCTCTCTCTCTCTTTTTTTTTTTTTTTTGGTGGGTTTTTCATTTAGGGGGGGTGTGCTGTCCCAATGCTATAGGGTGCGTGTGCTAGCCACAAAGACAGAGAGAGACAGAAAGCCAGAAATCACCCCCTGGGGGGTATGGTCATGCCTCAGTCCCTTCTCTTCCATTCTCCTATTGGGATCTTCGGCAGACACGCACACGTGCCTGCTGTGAATTTAAGCCACCAGGTCCGGGACTCGAACTGCAGTTGACTACATGGGAGTCCAGCGACGTAGCCACTACTCCGTTTGCAGGTCCCAGGGCACATATATTCACTGCAGAGAGAGAAAGAGAGAGAGTGAGAAAGGATAACCACACCACAATCTTTTCTTTTATAGTCTCTTGAGATTTGGGGGACATGCATGCACACATGCCTGCTATGATTTTCAAACTGCTGGGTCCAGGACTTGAACTGTGCCATTTACCCTGTGGGATTCAGCTGCCTTAACTACTGTACCAGCTATCTAGTCCAGAGGGTAATATTTTCTCTCCCTACATCTAAAGTTCATCCCAACGTCTGACTTTTTAGAATTTAGATATGAGAAGGATGTTTGTATGTGATTAGAAATGGATAAAATTTTCTTTGGAATGCTCTTATCTTTTTGATGCTGACAGCCTTAAAACTCTTTCCAAGAACACTAACTATAGCATCGTAGGGAATAGCCTCTCACCTACTGACCCAGTTCCAGAAATCAGGTGAATTAGAGTGACTGGAGAGGTGGTTTGAGGTGACTTTCCAGCTTAGTTTTCATCAGGTTCCCTGCAGCTAACTCTCCAAATGAACACAACTTTGGCATGAGAACTGCCTTACAGATGCTGCTTCTGCAGGTGTCTCTAGTACGTGCTTATGTCCACTCCCTCCCCCACATTGCTAACCTCCTCCTCCCACCCAAGTCCTTCCTACAGATAAGTACAGGAAAGCCATTGCTCATCAAAGCCAGCCCCACCCATTTCTGCCCCTCCCCTTGTCTGTCACACTCAAACAAAGGCCACTAGGTTAGTCAGATGACTTGTTCTATTTATTGAGTTGTAGGAAAAGTCATGATGCATTTTTTTATGTTTCTCTGTGCAAAAACATGATTTTTCGGACAACCCGATATATAGTTTTCCTGTTGATTTAAATTGGCCCGCCTAAAAAGTTTTGTAGGTGATGTGTGTGTTTGTGTGTGTGTGTGTGCGTGCGTGTGTGCATGCATGTGAATCATGCTGCCTTCATTCTTAAAGATGTTTAACAGATAAGGGGGACATTTTTTTCCCCTTGTACTTAAGGTACTACTTAAAATAGGAACAAGGAGATCATAAGTCGTGCCGTCTCCTGATAGGGATCAGCTTGGTTACACCCCAGTGCAGTGCGAGGTGAGCAAGCGCACGCACGAGTCTCTGCCCCTTGTTCAGCTGGGGATGTGTGCAGACATGCTGGGCAGTTGGTGGCACTTCAAACCCCAGATAAACAGGAGTTCTGCACATAGACATCCTTTAGTAAAATACTAATTTCCTCATATAATGGCTTCCCTTTCCCTCCTTTCCTCCAAAGAAAAAGGATATAACTGGCCCTGACTGGTTGGCATGGGTTCTGCAGACTTCAGCTCACAAGTCACTTGCTCAGAGACCTCCCTTGACTGCCAAGCAGGTGACCAGATGTCAGCGCTTCCTCCACATTTCCTTTGCAAGATTTACCAGAATCTGTGGACTGGGCTTGCTTGTTTACGTGATATTTTTTTCCTCTTTAAGGAGCATGTGTCTCCTACACCAGACTCTCTGTTAAGGACAGCATCTGCTTTATGTGGGCTTTACTCTTTGTCAGGTCCCCAGAACCTCACTTAGCTCTGGCTAACCAGGGACTTCGTAGATGTTAGTGGGAGGGAGTGAGGGAATCCATCTATCCTACAGATTCTTCGAAGAAAACATTTTCTGCTGTAAATCTTAGCAGTACCACTTTTTAAATTTTTACTTTATTTACTAGAGGGTGAATGTGCTCACCAGAGAGACAGGAAGCATATCCCCATGGGGCATGGTCACGCCGTAATCCCTTTTCCTCCGTTTCTCCACTCTGTTAGGATATTGGGACACACACGTGCCCAGTGAGTTTTTCAAGCTGCCGGGGCTGGGATCTGAACTATGTGGTGGGTCTTGCGGGATCCAGTTCTCTTTTCTGGTAGGCCATGACTTCTTGAGAACATTTTGTTCATTGAGTGCCTTAATTTCCCTAGCACCTTATTCACATCGCATGCATAGCCTCTGGTGCACAGCCTGCGTTACTTGTCTGAGTCCATTGCTCCTGTTGAGAGTCCTTCATGCTCATTTTTATGTTCTCACTCCTGACTCGTAATCTTTCGATGGACTAAATGGAATCTCTAACATGGAGGCTACTCCGAGACTGCCATTAGACTTCTGTTTGGCTGATTTGTCTGCAGGGTTTTCCTTTTCTGTGACTGTTCTCTGCCCACTTATGAGGACTGAGTCACCCGTTCACTGCCCTTTACCTCCTGTGAGTAACCTGCACGTAGTAGATGAAAGGCTAGATTTGGGTTGATGTTGCCTTCTTCCACTTCCATAGCCTGTAAGGTACAGAGCTAGAGCTCACACCAAAGCCTCCTGATGCCTTCTCTACTTTTGGTTTAACGTTAAAAGCTAGAGCTGTGTGGAATGACCGAAAGGAGACCCACATTCCTTTTCCCCAGGGCATCTAATCCTGCCAGACCCATCGTACGGTCCCGTCCCTGCTGTCAGGATGTTTCACTGAATACCTTGCTCCTTCTCCCATGGCGTGCCCCAGGCTGGCATGATGCTGGTTGAACTCTCGGCTAATTGCCACACCACGTTGGATCCTCTCTTGTGTTTGTACCCAGGATCGTCTGTTTTTTGTGATGGAGTTTGTGAATGGCGGCGACTTGATGTTCCACATCCAGAAGTCTCGTCGTTTTGATGAAGCACGAGCCCGTTTCTATGCTGCAGAAATCATTTCGGCACTTATGTTCCTACACGAGAAAGGAATCATCTACAGGTGAGTTTTGGTTGCTGGTACCCCTGTCCTAATTCATCCCCTGCCCTCCTCCCGGTTCGGTCCATCCTTCCATTTCTCCTGATAATCCATTGAAATCATTTTGTTCTAAGTGTTCATTAGGATAAAGGAATAGCATTGCGATAAACATCGCCAATAAACTAAAATGTGCTTCATTTGGTATTCATAAAATAGGCCTGAGAGGCTCAGAGAAGGCTTTTCAAGGACTGGCTCAGCCAGGGTTTGCTAAGGGCCCTGCAAGGTACAGAACACGTTGTTGTTCTCTTGTTTTCCATTTTAATATTTCACGTGAATCAGTTAATCACAGATCCATTGTTTAAGAATCCACACCTTACTGGAAGATGTGGCTGACCATTGCTCTAGGATGCTGTAGTAAGAATCATAGTCATATGGGATAGTTCACCTGGCAGGGGTCAGGAAGTGACCAGCCAAGTGATGGTGTGCTGCTTTGTGACGTTTGTGATCGTCGCCCCCTCCTCGATGTTATTTTGTCCCATAGTGTGATACACAGCCTTTCGGTCACAGTATCCCAGCCTTTCACTGGGCTCACAATCTGATTGATGTCATTAGATATAAAATGAAGTCCGTGAATATCTAGTGAAACTATTCAGAGAGAAGGTTAGTTAATGAAAGAATAATAATAGTCATTTTCTATTCTTTCTTTTTTTTAGAGAGATTTTTGCTATAGGGAGCATGCAATTGTCAGAGAGACACAGACAGACCAAAAGTGAGAAATCACCCCGTGGTGGGGATGGCCATGCCTCAGTCCCTTCTCCTCCATTCTCCTCTCAGGATCTTGGGCACGCACGCCCATGTGCCCAGCATGAGTTTCAAGTTGCCAAATCTGGGACTCGAACTTCGGTTGACTACATGAGAGTCCAGTGACATAACCAATGCATCATCCGCTGGTCCCATAATTTTCTGTTTTTATATTTTCTCCTTTTCTTGTTATCAATATGCTTCTACCCTTTAAATTACATTATAACCCACTTGTCACCTGTATGCTTTTTTTCCTCTTGAGATATATTGTGGTTTTCCTTTGAGAAAGATTTTCTTGGAATAGGAGCATGAATGTGAAGGTAAAGAATTTCTTGCTTAACATTTACTATTTATTAACCTTGCTAAATGCTGTTCCTTTTGTGAGCTCACAAAGTATTTGCATTGTTATTAAAGGGTAAGATAGCTTGAAAAACAGTGAGTATTTTTAAATACCCTGGGAGTTAAAAATAGGAAGAGAGGAGTGAGACTAGTAAAGATGATATCAGGAAAAAAAAGGGGGGGGAGACAGAAAAGGAGATATAACAGGCACTGTATAGGTAGTTCTTTTAATTATCAATAATTCTCAGTGCAGGGACCCAAACCTTGATTAGATATAGTCCTCGTATCAGAGACCTGAGACACTGAGTGAGAGAAAAGGCCACCCTGGACATGGGCCTATAGGACAGTGGTGAGTCATCTGCTTGAAGGCCCACCACAGGTTGCTTCAGAAGGCCTGCATTTTGAGCTTCCATGACCTGACCACAGCGTTCTCTCAGGGGTTCTCTCAAGGACTTTTTTCGTCTAAGTTTTTGCTGAGTGTCCTAATTCCAGTCTGTTGCTAATAACAGAAAATACTTGAATTGGGTGATTTGTAAAATTAGAAGTTTATTCAGCTTATGGTTGGGAGGCCCAGGGTCCAGAGGCACGTCTAGTGAGTGTTGTGGCTGTGTCACAGCATGGCAGAGGGTAGGTGAATTATGCCTGTGTTCCGTGTGTATCTCTCCTTACCAGTCTGCTAGGAGTCAGTCATGAGGACCCCACCCTGATGACATTAACGCAGATCTTCTCCCTAAAGTCTCATGTTTTGACACCATCATGGGGTCTAGTTTTCGTTCTCTGAATTCTGTTACAATAGCTTAACACACAAATATTCAGGGGACATAGCAGTGTGATTTGTGGAGGTTGCTGGAATGATCTCTGATGGTAGAGGGAGTTGAGTCCTTCTTCACAGTAGTGCCTGGGCAGTGAATTCACTCTCATTCTCCTCTTCATGTTGTTCCCTTACCCATCTGCCCTTGACCTGCTTACCCTAAAGCAAGTTTTATTCATAGTAAGATGACTTTGAGGCCAGCAGGAGGCATGGTGGTTAAGGCGCTGGATTCCCACATGGCTGACCGTGTTTAGATTCCCAGATCTGGTGGCCTGAAAATCACTCTGGGCACGTGGAGAAGAAAGGAAGAGAAGGGATTGCAGCATAGCCATCCCTCCTGCCACGGGGGGATGATTTCTCACTCTCCCTCTCACTGTCTTTCTTGGGCGAGCACATGTTTCCTACGGCAGAAACTTTAAAAAGAAAAGATGACTTCCCAATTTGGCTAGGACTAATGTTGTAAATCAAAATAACAGTATTGACAACAATGACAAGAGCAAAATCGAGTATTTGTTATGGGATCAGTACTTCACTTGTATTTCTCAATTTTCCTAACATTAGTATATAACAATAATATTAATATTCATTTCAATGAATAAGTCTTAGAAAGGCTTAATAGCCAGATTACTAAATGGTCATGAAGCCAGAATTCAAACCTTTATTTTAACCATTGGGTACACTGTCTTCCTGGGAGAGACTTAAAGATTTAGAGGGCCATTGAAGAGTCAGCTTCTTATTCCCCATTTGGGGACAGGACAACTTTAATTCATGAAAATAAGGCAGAGAAGAAAAAGCAGTAAGGGCCAGAGTTCAAGTTTTCGCGAATACCCAGAGGCCTTAAGTTGCCACACTGCTGCAAGGCAGCCGCTCCACTTCCTGTGCTGAATGTCACTGTCTTCCCATCTACTTGTTTCACGGGTCTTAAAAGATGGAGGGTGGATCTGATGACCGGCAACTTGATGAAGTTCCCATGGAGGAGGTACTAGTCCCCATCTTGAGGAGTTTATTTCAACACATGCTATCTGTGGTTCAGTTCCAAGAACTGATTTTAATTTACTCTTGAACTTCAATCCCATATTCAGGCTCTAACTGATATGGTTGACTTTGAAGGGAGCACATTTAATTAGGATAGATTCATATGCTATTTTTATCCTGTGGATTTATTTTATGGGCTAATTTAATTCTATTCAAGGTACTGGCTGGGAGCAGAGTCTTAAGGATAAGCCTTTGGAAGCCAAGTCTTTGGAATTCACACACAGCAAAGGGCACATTCGGATCACAGAGGATGAGGGTTTGATGTTGAGCCCATGAGAAACTCAGGAACATCAGCAGACTCATTTATCATACATGTCCTGGAATGGCCTTTTTCAGAGCTAAGATGATCGGAAAGATGCCGCTGACCTATCCAACCAGAACTGTTTGTTTATTTGTGTATAGTCTTTTTTGGGTAGGGAGTCAGAGAGAGAGATGTTTTCCAGCAAGTTATAAAGATGGTACTATCCACAAGTTACTGTCAAACAGGACTTTAGAGAGTAATGCCTAAAGCCCCCTTGGTCATGAATATTCTCTCTCTCTTTTAACAGACTCTCTGTGTGAAAGAGACAGGCCAGTTACATTTACATGCCTTTCAGCTCGTGTGTGACCCTGATTCTCAGATGTGTTACTTGTATTCTGTAGAGGAACGGAAGCCCAGCATTCAGGAGATGGAGTAAGAGAAGGACCTGCCCCTTTTGCCTTTGCTCTGACAGTCTAGAGCCTGCCATGGCCCAGAAACCAAGCAGAGTAGACTGGGCAGCAACATGTGGGATTTGCCAATGGGAAAAAAGACTGTTCATTCCTTTGTCCTGGGTTTGTTGGCAGATTGGGAACCCAGATAATACTCATGAATAATTTACACACGGCACTGACTTTTTTCCCAGCATGAAGCCTTGCAGAAAAGTTAGGGAGACAAGGAGGCATGCATCCCATTGATGCGCATTACAGGCGCCATTTTCTATCATGTTTCATAAACTGTATAAAAAGAGAATCGCGCCATCTCTGGCATTTCAGTTCCAAACTCCCAAAGCTGGTTAGCACACATGGTTTGCAATGTGTAATAAAGTGTGGCATATAGCTGAAATAGGTTGGGTGAGGAAGAATTTATAGAAAGGTATGATTTACATACTGGTTCCTGCTTACTGTGTTACACTTGAATACATAGTGCATTTGAACACATACTTTCAGCTCCTGAGCCTGATGGCATTGTCTTGTGCGGTTCTTGGCATGCTGGGTGCGTGCGTGGTAATCAGTGTTTACTCTTGAAGCACCAAGTGCTTGCAATGGTATTTCAATATCTCAGTTTGCAGATGGGGAACTGATCCCAGGGAGAAAGCTTTTGCTCCAGAGAAAATGCCTGCCAGAGCTGACACAGTGTCTTCTACTCTAATGCTTATGTAGCACACTAACTGTAAAAGAAAATTGCCCTGGGCCAGCTCCATAGCCTGGTGGTTAAGGGAACCAGACCTCACATGGCCAACCATGCAGTTCAAGCCTGAAAAACACACTGGGTTGCATGTATGTGTGTGCCAAAAGTCCTGAAAGGCTAGAGAAATGGAGAAGGGATTGCTGTAGGACCATGCCCTATTGGGGGCTGCTGTCTCTCACCCTTTGGCAACTTTAAAAAATGAAAAGAAAATCACCTTTGATTTCTCCTTAAATGGAGAAGAAAAAAAATCTTTACCTAATTTGACTTTTTGACTCTTTTTTAATTCAGATTTTGGGAAGATTAGCAATATCCCACCAAGATAAGCTCTGTTAAGCTGTTTGCTAGATCTGTGTGGATATACCAAGCTCCAACATCCTCTGACTCTTTTTTTATCAAGAATATCATGAAGGCTATAGGTACCTTACTGACTCCAGATACCTGTATGATCAAAATTTATCTGGGCATAGTTTTGCTGAGTAAGGCCATCCTGAAGTCTCCTCTGTGGGCATTGTTTCCTTGTCTAAGAATTCCAAGTGATCCATTTCCAAAATGATTTATGTGTTGGCTCAGTGATAGATGTTACATACTTATGTCATTGGTCTCTGCATT